CACACATCCCTTTGAGATCCTTGATAACCATTGGTTGTATCTGCTGTAACATACCTGCCAAGGCCACGTCAGATGCATCAGTATAGAGTCTGTATAGCAGCTCAGCTTATAGGCACTCCTGAGTCGAACTGTAGTGTTAATACACAAGTAGTAACAGTTAAATACAAGTGAGACTTATGTCAGAGACCAGGTTGAGACGAAGGAATGTCTCCATGGTGGAGGGCTTCGGCCTCAGCGACTTATGCCAGGAGTGCTGTGCCAAGTAACACGTTGAAAGAGGGCTCACAGCTCTCTATGCCAACTAAGCTCGTGGGGGCCAAACTCCCTAAACTCCTACTTTCTTGACTATACTCTGCTTATCTCGATCCTTAACTCCATGGTGGGTTCTCTGGGATTCTGCAAGGTCCAGGCTCAACTAATCTACTACCCACTCGTTGTGGGCTAGACAGTTGCCCTTATTCCTACTGTTGGATTCCACACACTCACTCCAACTCTAGCATGTCCTAGCACCTTAGAGAAATTGGGGGAGGGGAGAACTTCTTTTCAAAATCCAGTATGTACAGGATTATATCTAATAATTATTTTTAGAAAGAATAGATGGAAAATATTGGTGCCATATGGCACCTGGGTACCTTATTAGGCGAAATAATAAAAAAGGGTAACAGTATCAATAAAAGAATATTGATCAATGACTGAAATGATGCAAAAATATGAAAATATAAGAAAATAAGCGATATCTCAATGGATTTACGGAATTAAAGGCCAAAATTGGAAACGAAGCCGGAGATAACTCTCACACAGCCAATGAGCATTTTTACCAATTTATTAGACGCCGTGGGAACGAGTGAGGCTGGAATTCTGGGTTGCTGCTTGAGATTCCCACGCCTGCACATGCCTGTGCCTAACTTGCCCAACATAGAACTCCGTCAATTCTCCACCGATTGGGACGTTTTTGGTATCTTTGGGATTGTAGGAATTAGCCCTATTTTTAGATACCAAATTCGTATCGAGTTGTTGCATGAATGAAAGGGGTTTTATAGTTGTGGAAGCGAGTATCTGAGCCGAGTCTGTGCATGGGCGATTATCCCACCTACAAGGTCCATGCCCTAACTTACTAACTGGCAACCAGAACTGAAGGGGGTAACTCTAGTCGATTTTATTACTGAGGTGTAACCCATGTATAAGTTGAGTATATATATAGTTACAACAAGGGCAGGCCCACAAATGGCGGAGCTGAGCTAATGGGGTTAGACATTAGCTGATTGAATATTACCGACAAGTCGGGTTACAGGTTAACAGAATGGTAGGCGATAACCCAGAAATGGAAAGGAGGGATAGGCCCAAAGGTGGGCTTGCAGGGCAAGCGAGTGTATTGCCCAGCAGAGGTGGGAGTGCGCTAGCAGACGTTGGAGCTGTCCAGAAGCCTTCAGGGCTCCGTACTTAGGGAGGCGTAGGTAATAAATTGAAAAGAGGGGGTATGTCAGGGACTCGTCCGGGGTCGAGGGGGTCCGGATATAGCGTCCGGGACCGAGAGCCTGGCGGGGGGCGGATCGGGCGTGCGTACTGACAGGCCCGATGTGGGACAGTGGTCCCTGGCCACTTAGACTGAAGTGGAAAGTTGTTATTATTATTAAAGGAGAAATATTGTACTACTTACCTGAAGTGGAAAGTTGAGAAGAAGGCTACTTCTTCGGTTCCCACTTCAGGTTCGTTTATATACATGCGGCTTGGATCACATGACGGATGCCACGTCACCCTCGCACACAGCCGTAACCACCCGGGTGTCTCCGTGGGAGATCCCGAGGGTATCCGGTGCAGGCGCGCGTGCTGGGCACAGTGGGAAGTCGCCCGAGGTGCCCGGGCCGGGTACGTGGTGGGCACACTGCAGATGGGTCAGTTGTACATTGATACAGAGAAAGTTGTCCATGTAGAATAAAGAGAGAATAAAGGAGAAGTAAGATAAGGAGAAACTGAGGAGGGGAGGATGAGGGGGAAGAAGGGAAAGGGGGAGGGGGTAAGGAAGGGTGGACCGGCGGGGTACCGGGTCAGGTTGGGCCAGGTGGAGCTGGGTCAGGCAGGTGTGCCCTGACAGGGTACCAAGGTGATTGTGGAATATGGGAGCTCTGAGGTTAGTGAAGAAGGAGTGGAGGTAGACCAGAGGGATTGGAGGGAGTGGAAGTCAATGGCTGGGGATGGATATGACAACTTAATATACAAGTAGTAACAGTTAAAGTTCAACTCTGCAGTCATGTGACTATATAGAGGGAAAAATAAAAGAGAAACAAAGGAAACAAGAGGTAGATAGACTACAACAGTCTGTAACCCAACCCTTTCATGGGATGTCCCCTGACTGGAGCCATGGCCAAGGCATACTTCAGCAATGAGAAGGCTTGTTTGCATGGCTCATGCCAGATCCAGGGTGCCCCATCCTTCAATAAGCCAAATAGGGGTCTGTCAGAGACTGGGATATTGTCGGAGTCGGACAAACTGTCAGAAGATGGATGGAAGATGGATTGGGTTCTGTCTGAGTTGAGGTTGGAGTTGATGCAGAGGTCTGTTGGAGCACACACGTGGATATGTGGGCGGAAATATGCGGCGTGTCCAGAAGCGCTGTTCAAGGTTAGCAGAGTGGGATTGCAGCCTCAGCGACTCAGGTGGAGCGCTGTGCCCTGAGCTTGACATTTAGGGGAGATCCCATATTTACAAACTGACACTTACAGCGGACTTCAAACAAGACTTGCGGGCAGAGCGGACCTGTAGGAGGAGCGCGGACTCCGTGAGCACGGACTCAGAGGGGGGAAGCCCCCTTTGCAGAAGGAGAGACTCAGACCAGACAGGGGGGGGTACTCTAGTTGATTTCAGACTCAGGACCCCAAAAGTATTTACAAGGTATATACATAAATAGGCAAGAGGGAATATAGAAAGGCTGGTCAGTCCGGCGCGGAGATAAGCAGGGATTGTCAAACTAAATAAGGACAAGAGCCCGGGAACCGGAAACGAGGAACAGATCAATAAACAATAAGTGGCAAGGGTTATTGATGAATAACTGAATGAGATCAATAACCTAGTGCCAATAAAGAGGGGATCAAATGCCGATATTGGCAGGGAAGCAAACAATAAATGGCACTCGGCAAGGAATGAATGATAAGCTGCCAAGTGACAAATGGCCAGAGGAAAAGCGGAGGTCAGTGCGCGGTGCCGATACAAGTCTGCAAATAAGCGGGGTCAGTGCGGTGCCGACACAAGTCCGCGAACAGAGGTTGATCTGCCAGCACTGTCACACAAGGACAGCATGAAGGCCAACAGAGGTACAGAGGGGAGTGGGAGTGTTGACCTGACCAGAGGTGTCAAGGGCAACCAGAAGTGGCCAGAAGGTGCAGAGATGGGCAGAGGGTGCGGAGTGGGCAGAGGGTGCGGAATGCACGGAAGCGGGGCATGGCTGTGACCACATAGTGGGAAGCGATGAGTGTGGTTCAGGTGGAGACAAGGCAGGCATGACTGAATGCCGGGAGCACCAAGGGCTCAGGAACTGGAGGTAAGGTTGGAATACCGGCAGGGTCTAGGTTCTGATTATTGGCCAAGTCTCACGCAGTAAGGCAGGGGGCCAGACATGGGGTTGGGGGCTGGTTAGGATGGGTTTCGGGTTGGCAGATTCGCCTATCGGCATTGATTCGCCGCTGATGGAGCCCCGGGATTTGTCGGTCATGACAGGGTCTAGCAATGGGTGAATATTGAGGTATGGATGATGAGAAGTAAACTGCTATTCCAAGGAAGGTATGCAGTGCCTTCCTGTTTTGGGGTTCTTCAATCTCCAGTAAGGCTTGTACCTTTTCCCTGTGAGTGGAGAGTCCTAAGCAAGAAACCTTTTGGCCCAGTAGTAACAAGCTCTGGTATCCTAAGTGACACTTGGGCAGCAAAAGTGTGAGATTAGCCCTTTTTATAGCGTCAAGGACTTGATCTATATGTGCCAAGTGCTGTGTGAAGGACGTGGAGTATACCACAATGTCATCGATGTATACTAGGATGAATTGCCACAGGAAAGGAGCTAGGACTTCTTGCATGACTCTTTGGAACACAGGCAGGCCATTTCGCCACCTGAAGGGCATCCTTGTGAATTGAAACAAACTGTGATGAGTACGAAAAGCCATCTTATCTCTCAATTCTTGATTGAACTCCAATTGCATAAACCCTGACAATGCATCAAAAGTTGACATGTATTGGAAGCTGGACAGGGCCTGTAGGATATCTGTCTGTCTTGGGATGGGGAACTTGTCCAGGATAGTGACCTCATTCAGCTTTTGCCAGTCCACACAGAGCCTATTCTTCCCTTTTTGGCTGATGATTATAACTGGGGCACCCCAAGGGCTCTGGGACAGCTCGATCACCCCCATCTCCAACCAGGTGTCTCACTGCTTATTGATGATCTTGTTGTGTGTAGTTGTTTCAATTTCTCCTTCATTTCTTATTCAATCTGCACTCCATTTGTATCATGTGATTGTGGAGGAGTCCTTTAACTGTTACTTCTACTTGGAATAACACTAAAGGACAACTCAGAGTGGCTAGTGCTGAGTTATAAAAGATCTCCCTCTTCAAGGGGGAAGCATGGTGTGAGGTCTCAGTGGGTAGCTCAGCACACAGAGCCGTAAGTGATACAATGGTGTGTATTTTACGGTGGTGTGTAAGCAGTTCACCAGAGGTTACCGCTTACCCACATGACTATATGTATCTTTGATTACATATGGCTTGGGGTTCGGGGCTATTGCCCTGACACATGGTATGGCAGAAGTGAGATGGGTCTCACACCTTCCTTCAATGATATGTGCACGTGGGCATCATATCATCCCAGGTTCCCAGCTGTAGTGAAGGCCTTCTTGTGCTTTCGCACCATGGCCTGAAGCTGTTCCTTCTCCTTGGGCAATAACTCTGGATTCACATCTATTTGTTGCAGTACGATAGACCTGCCTCCTATTGGTTGATGCAATCTCCTAGAGAACTGCTGTGGCCATATGGTGTAGTGGTTATCACCTCCAAATATATGTTGGATGTTCGAATCCTGGTGTGGCCACCCTTTTCAGAGTTTACAATACTATTACATCCACCAAGAACTCAGGAAGGACTTCATCCCCAGGTATTGTCTCTGCTGTCTTTGGTCCGACCAAAGCTTCATCGATTTCATGGACCTCCTGCTGCCACAGCCTGTATCAATAACCCCTTACTCTGGAATTCTCAGATCTGAGGTTCGCTTAATTGTTCAGTACAATCTAGATCAACACTGGGATTAGGCATGGATGTCATCATTGTCCTGCTCTGACCTTTGATTAGGTACAGATTCAGGTTGGTCAAGGGCAGTCTGAGGGGATAGGTGGTGTCTACAAGCATGGTTGGAGTGTCAGGGCACACCCACCTGACCCGGCTCCACCTGGCCCAACCTGACCCGGTACCCCACTGGTCCACCCTTCCTTACCTCCTCCCCCTTTCCCTTCTTTCCCCCTCATCCTTCCCTCCTCAGTTTCTCCTTATCTTACTTCTTCTTTATTCTCTCTTTATTCTACATGGACGACTTTCTCTGTATCAATGTACCATTGACCCATCTGCAGCACACCCACCATGTACCCGGCCCGGGCACCTTGGGCGACTTCCCACTGTGCCCAGCATGCATGCCTGCACCGGATGCCCTCGGGATCTCCCACAGAGATACCCGGGTGGTTACAGCTGTGTGCGAGGGTGACGTGGCACCCATCATGTGATCCAAGCCACATGTATATAAACGAACCTGAAGTGGGAACCGAAGAAGTAGCCTTCTTCTCAACTTTCCACTTCAGGTAAGTAGTACAATATCTCTCCTTTAATGATAATAACAACTTTCCACTTCAGTCTAAGTGGCCAGGGACCACTGTCCTGCATCAGGCCTGTCAGTACGCATGCCCAATCTGCTCCCTGCCAGGCTCTCAGTCCCAGACGCTACACCTGGGCCCCCTCGACCCCGGACGAGTCCCTGACATGGAGGTGGCAGACAGTCACCCTGCTTCCATCCTTTCCTCCATCCTTTGACCAGGCGTACTCCTGAATTGTGGTCAAAATTGCTGGTGACCCCCACTAGGCGGACTGTGTACAGTTCTAAGGTGACATCCTCCATAACTTTTAGTCAACCTGTGCCTGAGATGTTCACTCACTTAGGCTTTCAGGTGGATGCATGGTATGCAGCTGGAATGCGGTTTACACATCTTCGGCTATCAACAAAGGAATTGTCATCCCCTTGAGCACGTAAGCTTCCATGCCCCACAGCAGGACGTGACCTCATTGTGAAGGCAGATATAAGTCAATTGTCATGTAACCTTGGCACTTGGCCTTCCCTGTTAGCTGAACCAGATTCAGCTTCAATCCTTGCCTTATATGGGTGCCCTCCCCCTTAATATGGTCATATAAGTTGGCCAATATTAACATACAGGCTGCCCCAGAGTTGGCCAATGCCTCTATTTCTATCCCATCTATTGCATTGATATGACAATGTATTCAACAAGCATCAGATCCTAAGGATTGCTGACCTGGGGGTCGTTCAAATATCTGATGAGCTTCATATATCTTGCCCAGGATGACAGCAGCCCCAATGAGTCTCTTGTCTGGTGGGATCTCACTCCATGCACATGCTGCAGTGTAGGAAAAGGAAGAGTCTTCAGCATTATCTATGTCAGGTACATCTGACGATTCAGACTTGGACAAGGTACAGAACTCTGTGTAGGCCACTGAAAATTCTGCTTCCTGACCCTCTACTGAGGCAGTATAAGCCCATCAGTAGGTGCCTTCCAGTTTGGACAAGCTACCATTGTTATAGAAACGGATCTAGAATCTTATGGTCCGTGACTATAGGCAAGCAGACTTTGGGATTCCATCACCTTATTTCGCTGTCAAACCCCATGCCAAGCTTTCCCACTGGGTTTTGGTGCTGGCTGGGGGATTTGTTGAGTTTCAAGGGATTTCCCTTGACCATTGTAATATTTATATTAGATAGTTACGAGTCATATGACATGTAAGGCAGTTGCCAGAATTGTTTTATCATTATCGAATACATAACCCAAAAACCTTGTACCGCAATTGTAACATCCTCACCATTGTGCCACCACTGTAAACTCAACCTGTAACCTTGGAACCATGTCCACCTCCCTATTCATCCTCTCCATGACAAAACCGCAACGAGGAGGGCATTCCCACGCCCAACCTCCTGCTGCCCGCTCCCACCAGTCCACCGGGTGGTTGAGCAATCACTCCCATCCAACCAGAAGTTCCCTATCAGGAACTGTAGCCTATCCCACCTCCTTAGGAGAGGGATATGGTCCAGGCAGCTCCAGGATGCCTGGCCACGCACCCGCGGGTCCCACTTCCCACGGTCACCCACTACCGTGCACTGGTCCACCAACCCGCTTTCCCCAACAACTCCCGCTACCGGTACGCTCCCATGAGCGCCAAGTCACCGATAGCCACCATCTGGGTGACTTCCTTTGGGAGTCCCAGTATCCCTCACTACCGGCACGCTCCATTGAGTGCCAAGTCACCGTTAGCCAAACACTCCCAGCACACCCGCTACCGGCACGCTCCCAGGAGCGCCAAGTCCCCGTTAGCAGACAGCCAGGTGGCTCCCTCAAGGAGCCCTCATCATACTCGCTACCGGTACGCTCCCAGGAGCGCCAAGTTACCGTTGGCCAACCCACAAGTTGTACTTCCGTACACTCATCCTATTCCGCTCTCCCTCCGATGGCTACGCAGCCACCTCCATTAGTGAGTCGAACGGCTCAGGTTGGGTTCCCCGGAACCCATTCCTGTAACAACCATGCTCCTTACAGTCATTCCTGGTCTGATCAGCCCTTCTGGGGGGACAGTCATTGTCCCAGTGGTATGTACTTCCACAGTGTCAACAAGGCCTGGGTGGTTTCTTCCACAACTTGAAGTTGCTTGTAGGATAGGTGTAGCTCCCAGATGCAACGGCAGCGCTTCTGGTCTCAACATGACCTCCATGTTTATTCCTCTCCAAATTAATCTGGGCAACTCAGTTGGCCAAAGCATCAATACTGAACTTGTCGCTGGCTACTAACTCATCATGCTTAAGTTTGGTCAACTGTAAGAGTTCTTCAGCCATGTCAACCTGATCAATGTTGAGGTGGGCCCACCATCCTTTCGGGATGTCCTCTAAAAGTCTTTGGGCTTCACCCCTCAGGACCTCAGGACCAGGAACGTCAGTGAGTGGATACAAGATGCACAAGAGTCACAGCTTGTGCATTGCAAAGTCGTGTGGGGATTCCTTATAGTACCTTTCACCCTTACAGTACCTGCAGGCATGGAATTGGTCTCGAACTATTATAACTCAGCAGATAGCACAGTCTGAGTCGACTTTAATGTTATTACAGAAGTAAGAACAGTAAAGAGCGACTTGGAAGTCACATGACACTAAGTAGAGCATAGATTGAATAGAAAATGAAGAGAAATAACCACAACAGTTTGGACTGACACAGGGCCATGGACATCAGAGTGGACAAGTTCTAAGGGCCTACTGTGTCGATTAGAGGCAACTTGGGGAATGGGAAGTGATGTTGCTTGCCAGCCAAGCAGTGCTCACAGATATTGTTGTGGTTATTTCACTTGGTTTCCTTTCAATCTGCGCTCTATTTCACGTCACATGACTGCGGAGTCATCCTTTACTGTTACTACTAGGTGTATTAACACTAAAGTCCGACTCAGAGCGGCTATAGCTGAGCTACAATAGATATCTGGGAGAGGGGAGGAGAGAGAAGATTTTCCAATGTCCAAGTCCTTTACCAGTGAACCAGAGATGAGTTGTTTGAGTCAATTTCACCCAATATGGCAAAAGTGATGATGCCACAGTTCAGGAGATGAGGGAGTGGACCTCAATGCAGTATGAACCACAGTAGACCCATCTAACAAGGCACTATTTGTAGTAACTCAGGTGAGCAGTCCTGGGGCAGTCTGGAGTAGACTTTAGCCTAGATACAATAAGTAGAAAGGATAAAGCCGACTCCAAAGTCACATGACTATCTATAGAGTGAAGATTGAAATGAAAATAGACAAGTGTCACAATGGTGTCAAAGACTGGATTCAAGATGAATGAGAATGACTCAGTGTTTGGAGGGCTGCAGCCTCAGCGACTCAGCCATGAGCGCTGGGCCCAGTAACATGTTGGTGCCCTAATTTATGGACTGGGAGTCTTCTGGAAAGGGAGAATAACTCTAGTTGATTTTTCACTAAGGTGTCTGGTATCTAAAAGTAGCGTTGTAATGGGTCTATCTAACTACACTTGAGACAGAAGAGAGGGGGAGGGTTGGAGTGGACACATGCACAGGTTCATTAACTGGGAGTGGATTCTGCTACTCCTCACTGTCTAGCTAACTATACAGCTGGGTATCATGGAAGAGTCCGAAAATGACAAATAAGGAAAGAACAATAAGAAGAGGGAACATCAGGCTCTAGTGACTGGAAATGGAATCAGAGAAATCTGGAAAAATAAGAAATATGTGGGAGGGAACATTGGCTAAGGGTGGTAGAATTGCGGGATTTGGGTTGTTTATGGTACACCAGCAAATCCCCGTTATAGCGTATATATAGATACAATGGGAGTCTAGGTGGTGGGCCCATAAATGGCAGGGGCTGGGTGGAGCTGACCTAACATGGCCAAGGGTTAGTCAACTGAATACTACCAGCAACTTGGGTTACAGGGTTAATGTATTATAACCCAGAAGTGGAATGGAGGGTGTGGTCCAAAGGTGGACTTGCAGGGTAGGCAACTAAATGGCCCAGTGGAGGTGGGGGTGTGCTTGCAGACATCAGAGCTGTCCAGAGGCCTTCAGGGTTCCATACTTAGGGAGGCATTGTAGGCAGGATAATTGCCCATGTGCAGAACCAGCTCGGATACCTGCTTCTATGACTATAAAACCACTTTCATTCATGCAACAACACAGCACGAATTTGGTATCTAAAAATGGTGCTAATTCTTATGATTCCGATGATATCAAGAACATCCCAAACAGTGGAGAATTGACAGAGTTCTGCACTGGAGGC